ATATATATATATATAGCAATTAAACTGACAGATATTTACTGCAGGTGAATTTTTCTGGTGCATGTGTTTTAAATAGCGATTGATTCACCACCAGTAAATGTTTGGTGAAAGCCACCTACATTGTTTTATAAATATGCCCCTAAGGTATGAAATATGTATGCACCAAACAAGGTAAAAACCATGAAAGATCAATATGCTATGCTGCTGGAGCAAACAGGGCAAAAATGTATAATTTTTATTGCTGAGACCTAAACAGCGGCGTATGAAATTGTGCATGGGTGCTTGCCGCAGTCAAAGGCTGGTTGTGCACATTTACACATGCACACTGGTACTCTACACGCAGTTTTTGCTTTTAGTAGATTTTCAGCATGTCAATTTTTATTAAGTATCGGATAATACAACATAAACAAGTGCAATCATCGGCAGGTAACATGAGTCAGGCACTAGTACATAGACTGCACCTATATCAGTTATAGATCAAAGCACATTAAATGGAACTCAAGATAAACCATAACAACATAATATTGAAACTGTGAGAATATGCCATCGCCATATTACTTCCCTATTGAGGGAACCAGAGGAGTCAAAGTCTGGGTGGTAAACAACCTCAACCCAATATAGGTAATCGTGGAAAAGATCGGTGCTAATATGCTCATAACATCCTGAGAGATAATGGGGGAAATGTGTGCATGAACGGATCAGATCAAATAGAAGGAACCGTGAACTATAGGACATCTAAAGGGCCCAGGGAGTTTGTTAGTTTCGCTTCAAGATACCATTTAGATAATCGGAAAATGGACATCAAGTCTTGTAGCTGCTCTAAGGATAATTCAGCCGCAACAAAGGATGTCCAGGTGGCAAAGAATCTGTTGGTACGCATTTGGTTGAACTTAGTGTTTAATTTGTCTAGCAACATGAGGCGGAATAGCAGGGAGTGGAAATTCTCTATGGATGGGGGATCGCTTTTAGTAGATTTTCACAGATACATATGGTGACCTTTGCATACAAAATAGCCATCAGATGTCACAATTCTGCCAAAACATCATACATTTAAATTGAAACTTATTTTAGATAAGCATTGGCATATATTTGTTCATGATTGGGTTGTTCAGCATGAGTGAAGTACTGTAGTATCTGGGAGATTCCCATGAACCAGCCTCCCCACTGGTATTGTTAATGACTTTGGGAGTCACTGGGTAATAGTGATCACGATGTGATTACTTTTAATATTGAATACAGAAAAGGGAAGTGGGCTGGACGGACCAGAACCCTAAATTTCAGAAGGGCCAACTTTGATGAGCTGCGCAACCTAGTGGGGGAAATAAAATGGGAAAACTTATTTCACAACCTAAACACAGACCAGATGTGGGATTGTTTTAAAAACACACTACATACTGCTACTTCAAAGTGTATACCTTTAGGGAGCAAAAGATCAAAGACTAAACCTATATGGCTTAATAAAACTGTAAAACAACACGTCAAGGACAAGAGAGCGGCATTTATAAAATATAAGATGGAGGGGACGGCATTGGCGTTCCTTAACTACAAAGAATGTAACAAAAAATGCAAACTAGTAACCCGGGCAGCTAAAATTGAGTGCGAAAAGCATAGCGCCATAGATAGCAAAAAGAAGCCCCAAAAACTTTACCATTATATTAACAGTAAAAAGGTGAGAAAGGAGCAGATAGGCCCAATAA